CTGTCGGTTTGCGGAAAATGATCTCCGGTTTTTCAGGGAGGATTTTCATTAGAACTGCGTCAGCTTTAAGTATGTCCCAATTTTTCTTTATTATATGTTGTACAGATCTAAATTGTACGGAAAATGTAGTAACAAAGGGGCAAGTCATGTCCTTTACAGCTTTTTGGTTGGTGCCAAGGACAGCCTGTGGGAAAAAAAGAGAAGAAATCTCTGCCAAAAAAAAAAGTGTGTTGTATGCCCACCATTAAAATATACCGCCCTGCATCCACTCACTTCTAATGGTGGGCACACATTAGGTCACACTTTGCCACAAGTGCCAGTTCCAAGATTGTACAAATGTCTAAATAGTGGCACGCTTGAATAAAAATTGTCTACGTATAAGTGGTGCCCCATATGGAAAAAGGATGACACCAAGTCCCAAACTATCTTGCCACTGCTCCCCATGTAGTCTGGGCATCCAGGTGACTATCTATTCCCTCGTAAATCCGAAACTTCTAAGTATAGCCTGTTGTCCTCTCACAGGTCTTCTACATCTTGACCCCATATCTGGCACGCTTGCTAGGGATCAATTGTTTGAATGTAAGGCGGCCAGAAAAATGAATGAGGGACTCATCAATGCAGATTTTTTTCTGGGGAGTACAGACATCTGCAAATTTTTGGTTAAAGTGATTTGCGAGGGGCTGAATTTTGTGTAGCAGGTCAAATTCAGGGTCACCTCAAGGACGACAGAGTGTATTGTCGTTGAAATGCATAAAACACTTTATACTCTCATATCTATGCCTGGCCATGGCAGAGAACATGGGCATAAGATGAATAGGGTCTGTGGATCAATACAACTGCAATTAATTTTTTTTAGTAATGCACATGTTGAGGGTTAGGCCCCAAAAAAATATAAATTTGAAAACCGTACTGGGTTTCCATGCAAATGGTCTGTCAAGGTTTGAATTTTGGCTTGTGGCGATACATTGTTGTGCATATAAAACGCTTTGATCCACAGTCCAGTCAATGCATACAGATCTTCCGTGAAAAACAGCTCCAAAAATCAAGGGGAGTAGTTGAATTTGCTGTTTTTGCCTGAGTTCTGGGTTGGGCAGTGAATGGGGGAAGTACGGGTGCTGCAGAATTTGTGGGTTGCCAATTGGAAGGATACTAGGAGCTCTATGGGCCTGTGTGCGAATTCGTGGTGGTTGCGGGACAATACATGTGCTCGCCACCGCACCAGCTTGTACTGCACTTATGGGACTTGCAACGTCGCCAAGTCATACTGCAATGCTGGTATTATTATTATTATATAGGATTTATATAGCGCCAACAATTTGCTCAGCGCTTTACAATATAACAGGAGACAATAAAGTAACAATACAGTTCAATACAAGAGGGTTAGGAGGGCCTGATCCTGGGAGCTTACAATCTAAGAGGTATGTGAAAGACCAGGATGTACTAGACCGCTGGTGTCGCCAGTTCACCATAAGGTAGCACGGCACCAGTACTGGCACTCTGCTGCATATGAGAGTCATCAAAATCTACCGCCAAGTGCTAACAGAGTTCAGGCCTAATTCTGCCAACACTGTGGTTTTGTGTACAATGCATCAAGTGACAGTGACCTACTGACACTGCACTTGCAGGGGGAGAAGGGGGGGGTTAGCGTAGGGGCTAAATGCAGGTGCTGGCAGGTGCCGGAGCTGATCCTGCTAACGCTGCATTTTTGAGGACGCTATACTAATGTGAACGTTGTATAGTGCTGATCTGATCAAAGACATTGATCCGTTCAGACACTATACTAGCAATGGAGGTTTATCGTGTATAAGCGTCTTCCTGGCAATAAAGGGGTTAAATGTGATTACTGGTGTACTGACGGGAAATCAGATGCCATCTGGGAGGGGAGTGAAAACCACTGGAGCGCGAATCACGTATATATATATGATTTCGTGCACCTGTGCTGCCCTGTAGCAGTATTTCTGCTGTAGGGCGGTCAAGAAGTGCTGTGTTACTTTAACTGACAAAATTAAATTTACATCTTTTTTTCCCCACAAATTGGGCTTTCTTTTGGTGGTTTTTGATCGCCTGTGCGTTTTTTATTTTTTGCGCTATAAAAAAAAATCCCGACAAATTTGAGAAAAAAAACAATATTTTGGACTTTTTGCTATAAAACATGTCCAGTAAAAAAATGTAAAAATCTAATTTTGTCATAAATTTCAGCCAAAATGTATTCTGTGACATGTCTTTGCTAAAAAAAAAATCCTAATACGTGTAAATTAATTGGTTTACGTGAAAGTTATAGCATTTACAAATGGTGGTATAGATACTGAATTTTGTTTTATATACTAATAATAGTGGGGATCAGCGACTTATGGCGGCGATCAGCGACTTATGGCAGGACTGTGGGACTGCGGCCGACATTCTGACACTGGGGGGGAACTGACTTGGGGTCACTGACATCCCCAGTGACACCAATACAGAGATCAGTGCAAAAAAAAACCACTGACACTGTACTAATGGCACCGGGGAGAAAGGGTTTAACTTCTGGAGCCAATCAAAGGGTTAACTGTGTGAGGGGAGTATTTTACAAGGGGGCGGGGGTGTGTGCCTCTCTGTTACACACTGTCCCAGAAGGCTGTGACCAGCGATCACGGAACAGTGTGCTGAAGCTGACAGGGAGGAAAGCTCAATTGAAAACAATACAGCCTTCCTCTCTGTCAGTGATTGCCGGCAATCGCTTGGATCCGGCGGCTAATCACCGGCCGGGACCCGGTGATTGACACCCGCGGCTGCAAATGGTGCCGTGGGTAGGGCGGTCGCGCGCCCCCCTACCCCGGAATGCAGGATCACGTTTATATACATGATCCTGCGCACAGGGGCCATCTTGTAGCAGTATATTTACTGTGGGCGGTCCCCTAGTGGTTAAGGTTTGGGTTCCACATGGAGAGCACCCTGTGGCTGATTGCAATGCATTGCATCAAGTGCCAAGGTGAGTGCCCTAGGTGTACTGCTTCTACTTTTGGCATCAGAAGGCAGTGAATGAGATGATAGAAGAGTTGAGGAATCTGTACAATGAATAATAAACTAGTTAAGATAAGGCTACATGTACACTAGCCTACCCTGACTGTGGCCACAGGAAAGCGCAAAACAGTGCAAAAACCCGTGTAAATGTGGTACCGCATTTTGGCTGCATTGTGTTTTCCTACCGCCAGCGGTGAATGCATTCAATTCTTCTGCGTTCAGGGGAGGAAGGTTTAACCTCACCTAAACGTGGCAGCTCCTACACTCTGCTGAAAGCCTATGTGTACATAGACATATAGGCTTTTATGGAGTTGAATTTAGGAGCTTTGGCCAAAAAATGCCAAAAGCTCCTAAACTCAAGTTTAGGAGCTGCCAGTGTACATGAAGCCAGGGAGAAGTGGTTTGTCACTTTAGGGCACTAGCATAATGGACTAATATTGGGGTAGAGTTATAGTGGAGGTGCCCAGGGGACATGTTCTTGAAAGCTTTGCCAGTGTCCAACCACCTTAAGGTATGAGCCAATAACCTGGGGTCTTTGAATACTTTGCCTCTGTACTGTACTGTAGAATTAAGATAAGCGTGATTGCTCTTTCAAAAGAACATTATGCTATGTGTATTAAACATTTTTTATATTTTGATATTTATGTACAGCTGGGGTAGATGGTAATTAAGTAATTTTGCGTTTCCTGCATTGGCAAAACACAGGCTCACATTAAGGCTAAGTTCACACTTGCAAAACCTATAGTGTTAATGTGCATTTTTGATGCATTTAACATGCGTTTAAGGGGTGCTAAAAATGCACCCCAGACTCCCCCTAAGAGATTTTTTTTTTATTAGGAGGGAAGTGTTGTACTACTGATATTTGATAAACACTTGTCAAACATGCTGTATAGGCATTGTAAACACACTGTAAAACCAACTAGCGTCTTTACAGTGTGCTACCATAAACTTGAATGGAGCTGTGCAGAGGTACAGTGTGTGTAGGGCTGCCTCAGACAGTGCTGGCTGCATGGACTATACTCTGGCATTTCAGGGACCTCCTGTTCCTGGGGTGTTGCTGCAAGGCTGTGTAGATGGCAACTGTAAGTACAAGTGTTTCTTTGCTACACCCATCTGAGATTTTCACTGGAAGTGTGGTGTTTTGCCCACCAGTGACTGGGTTACAACAGCTTCAGTGTGGTGTGACTACAGAGGAGACTTGTGAGGGAAGGACTGTCCCAGAGGATGCTGCCGTGTCATCTGGAGTGGTGAGAGGCCTCTGGTCATTTGTTACTAATTAAGTGTTCTTGCATGGCAAGACTACTTACTGTTATTTCACATATATATTCTTATTATTATAGCCAAATTTACCACCATAACTCCTCCCACAGTTTTTACACTACATAGACAGTAATATACCCAAACGTGCGGATTGTTCCCCATTGGTGTGCTATTACTTTGTGGAACGTTTCAGTGAATGGTTCATGAAATATCAGCGTTTTTGTGGTGAAGTAACATGAGGAATGAGAAATGGCTGACCAATAACATGACGAAACACCTCCATATTTTGCCCTCCATTTCTCTGTCTGGAATAACTGTACCACATTTATATGTATTCTCTTTCCAGATTATATGATTTTTTTATGTTATTATTGGAACAATTAAAAATGTATACTCAAAAGTGTTGTGTAGTTGTAATTTTCTTTTCAATACCACTGTGTAATTGCCATAAAATTAACTAGGGACCATTACATTTATCCTGCAAGATAAGTCACTTACTTGTGTCCCAGTAGGTGTTGTCCCTGGTGGAACATGATGTATATATAAACCTATATTATTGAATTCTTCCACCAGAAGGTGGACATGAATTCTGGGTGTCTAATCCTGCCTCTTGGCATGCAGCTTTGACATTTAAGGTAAGCACAAATTTGACTTATTACAAAACATTTAACATAATTTTAAAATGCATAGTAAACTAAAATATTTCCTACCTTTCAGTGATCCAAGAATAAGCATTCATAATGCAAGCCTACTCCAGTAATGGGTCCTTGGATGGAGGTTCTATCTCCCACTCTGTCAATATCTCTAATGAAAGCCAGGGTTTCTCCAATGATTTCAGAATAATTCAAGCTGTGTTGATTTCCTGCATGATCAGTGTAGCAGGAATGGGAAATGCTCTGGTCATTCTCGGTTTTATAATGAATAAAAAACTTAGGACTCCAAGTAACTTCTTTCTATTAAATCTGGCCATTAGTGACTTCATCACAGGTAAACATTAAATGGGCATTGTCCAATTATGCTATAGAACAGTTTCTACTATACTACTGAACTGGTCAGGAACACACTCTTATCTCTTATCTGTAGTTAAAATGGAACTTTACCCATAACAACTTGATAAAAAAGAATGTTCTTTATCAAGGAACATACATTCCAGAATAATAAATATGCTACTGAAATTAGTGTGTGCTGTAAATTGCCTCCGGTTTCTTCTTGCTGGAGGCTGCCATATAGGCTGTCAGCAGATTGGCTTCTACAAATTTGGCACAGTGCCTAAAAACAGAGAGAAACTGAGCATGTGCAGAGCAGGATGAGACAGTGTATTACTTTTAAACAGTATAGGCAATTATCTTTCATGTTTTACATACCTATACCTGCAACAGGGCTAACCTGCAGCGATCTAGAAGGACTTAATTTTCTGACTAAAGTTCCACTTTAAGGGGCTATGAGAAGCTGAATACACAATTGTGAGTTTTATGATAGCGAGTGTCAATGTGATAGAGAGTATATACGTAAAAGAACATAAATTGCATAGTCTCCACCTTCCATAACACACCAATTAGTTTGGTTTTGTTCTAGAATGATTACGATAACAGGAAGTTGAGAAAAATGATAATTCCACACACCTAAATCCAACATTTTATCCTCTTTTTTTATATAGCATATAGGCTTGGAGAACTAATTAAACTTGAGAAAAGTCAGAATAATTGTACATTATATTGAATGCCTGAAGACTTGCCTCTACTGGAGAAGCTTCTCAAAATGATACATTTTATTTAAAGCCAGAAGTTTTTCTTTAGTTTTATATAGTGTTTAAAGGGGGGCTAGAACCCCTGTCAGGTTTTTATTATGGTCTGTGTCCTGGAGGTTCACCCTCTCTATTTATTCTGGTGACCATTGTCACTTGAATCAAAATGAGACAAAATCATCTTGCAGATATTTTCTCTGACTTTCTGTCTACCGGAGAGGAAATAAAGGAGAAATCTACCTGGCACACATATTGGAAAGAAACAAAAGTTTTAGCTTAATATACTTTACAATTTTGTATAATGTATATGATGATTATTATTAATGCATAAGTTATCAAATTGGTTTAGTGTAAAATATTTTTCCACCTCAAAGAGCTGCCTATAGTGTGCACTTTATTGATAAAAGTCTGATTTGTTTTCCAAAGAAAAATAATAGTTGTGTATTTTTGTTGATGAATGGTTGAGAGGAAGCTGTTGCTGATTTTTTAAAAATTACATTTTTTTTTCTGCGTACTTCAGAATGAGTGCATGTAATATGATTTCAAAGCAGCTCACACACTATTGACTACTTTCTGTATGGCTGATTTCTGTAGATGACAGTGTCTTGCAGCCTCCTGTGTTCTCCCACATTAAATGCAGATATCACGGATAGAAAGAAAATAAAAAGCACAATGGGCTCTGTAAGCAGTATAAAAGGTACTGGATCTGCACACCTGTGGCTAATAATGGTTTACCATTCTATTGGATTTTTTTTTTAAGTATATTATGAAGAATGCAGGGGAGGGTGCTGGAGCATGTAAAGGTGTCGGAAATAAACAAAACTCAGATTAGGACAGGAACAGATTTGGGAATAATGTTAGGGAGCTCTCACTATTGTAAGAGTATGCTAGACATATAAGAAGCCAGAGGATAACTTAGCCCACTAGATTTCACATTTTACTAACATGGTGTGTAATAACCTTTGTCATTACCTTGGGTGTAATGGCCTTTTAAAGACTCACTGAATATAACATTTTATATGGTGATACAGGAGAGCAAAGAAAGCAGAGTGATGACCTTGTAATGGTACTAATACTCCTTAATTGTCCAATCACAGGGTGAGAATAGGTTAGTTACCAAACAGTACTGAAAAGTGAGGTCATGGACATTGCTTTCCATGTAACGAGTGCCTTGATCATATAACTGGCCAAACACAATTACAAAGGTTTTTTTTTTTGGCAGGTAAATCAGTTTATCTACGGTACTTTATATGTATATACAGTATATATACATTTCATAATTTCATGTGTGTACAGTATGTAGCTGTCAGGCTGAAATTCATCCCTAAGGGCGGCTTTGGACGCATCGCAGTGAACACGTGGTTTTTGTGTGAATTAGCTTTCATTTTCCCCAGACTTCTAGTATGTCCCACAATTTTGGTGTGTTTTTAGGAGGTCTATGGAAAGTGCAGCTAAACCACATGACAACTGCAGGTCACTGCTCTGCGCTTGTTCTGCGGCGGAAACAGTGTAAAACGACTCTTAGAATACTTCAGTTCTTGAACCCCTCCTTAAACTCTTATACTACATTCTCTTAAAGTGTTGCTAAGCCCACAACAGTAATATCAGTCTGCATATGCAGTAAAACATGCTTGGTATACTCACTGTGGAAAATTGCTGTTTGATCCTGTCTTCTCTGATCCTTCCCTGTTTCCAGTGTCCCCCTCTTATCTCCTGATAAGACATATCATGCGAAGTCACTCTGCACATGCTCAGTTTGGTGTGTATTGCTAGAGAGGTTTTTTTTATTTTCTTTTATTTTATTTTTTTATTTTATGTTTTTTTTTTTTTTTTTAATTTTCTTGGGAGAGTGCGTTTGATCAGCATAGGGCCAATCAGCACTGCCCAGACAGAGGTCAAGGGTTCTGCATCCTCCTAAAGCAGAATGAAAACATCTCCTTCAAACTTTAACCAGCACTTTGCTGAAGTCACAAGACTACTGAAGAGAAAAGGTATTTAGCAGTTTATATTTACTAAAATAATTGCAATTCCATGTTCTGTGTACAGTGGGAGACCAGATAGAGTGGATGCAGGGTCCTGGGTTTAGGAACACTTTAGGGCCTTACAAATACTGGACATTTTTGCTTTCTCTCCTAGATGTCTTTCCTCCAGGCAGTGGTGTTTTGGCAGAAAAATATTTAACGCTAATAAACGCATATGCAGAGTTTAGGCACGTCAAGCGCTTTTGCATTAATTAATTTTATTGTCCAGAATAATAATTTATTCTGGCCATTGAAATTAATTAAGTGCACCTAGCGCTCAAGCACACTTAGATGCGTTTACAAGTGTCAAGCATTTTTCCTGCCAAAAAGTCACTGTTTCTGGATGCACTGGCAGTGGTTTTTTTCTGCCTCTAAACTCCTCTAAAACCCCATGTGTGCAAAGACACATAGACTAACATGGAGAGGCATTTAGAGGCAGAAAACAATTGCCAAAAGCAGAATAAATAACGTCCAGTGTCTATGTGGCCTAATGCTTTCATGTGCTAGAGTCAAATATTTGGACTTGTCTAATAATTGAAAGTGTCAAGGTTAACAGAAATTATAGCACAGTGGCTAAATGGTTAGCACTTCAGCCTGCCAGTGCTAGGGTCGTTGGTTCAAATCCCAGCCACGGCACCACCTGCCTGGTGTCTGCATGTTCTGCCTGTGTGGATTTCTTCCGGGTACTCCAGTTTCCTCCCACATGCCAAAGACATGCTGGTAGGCTAATTGGATCCTGTCTAAATTGGCCCTAGTATGTGTATGTATGGATGTAAGTTAGGGACCTTAGATTGTACACCCCTTGAGGGTTAGGGACTGATGTGAATGTACAATATATACATAAAGTGCTGCATAAAGTGACAGCTCTAATAAGTACCTGAAATAATAATAGCATATGTTTTTTTTTTTATCAAGGTACTTTCTCTCGCCCACTGTACCTGATGAATTTCATTATCAACAAAGAATGGGTTCTTGGGAAGCATATTTGCAAGCTTTGGCTCACAGTTGACTACACCTTGTGTCAGTGTTCCGTTTATAACATTGTTCTCATCAGCTGTGACCGTTTTCTGGCTGTCACCATGGCAGTAAGTTCAATTCAAATTTTACACAAATATTTTTGTAAATACAGTAAAGCAGGCCAAAAGTATGAATGAAGCGCATTGCTGAAAAAAAGTGGGTCAGGCTGCTTATTGTTAAAGTTGTGGTGCAAATACACATACCTTCCGTTGCCAGTCTTACTGCCCTTGATCTAATGAGATATGGATAATTCAATCAATATGGAGAATTCATACCTCATGCCCTGCTGGAGTATCCATTGTATTGAAGGGAAAGCACACAATTTACACTGCAGCAGAATGTCCATTTACTCACCATGCTCACAAGCAGCCCCCTTTGACTTCTTTTCCTACAACTCCCTGGGTTCCTGGAAACATCCAGGCAAGAGTTTCTTTGCTTTCCTCCCTCAGCAGCTCAAAAAGGCAACGCCTAGTTGGGCAAGTGATCTGCAGTCAGGTGAGCGACTCTCAACTGTCAGAACCGCTGTGTGGCAGCTGGGCAGGAGCCTAAATCAGGCCATACATGGGTCGAATTCTGAACGATTTTTCGATTGAAAACATCATTCATTCTGTAATCAGATGGTGCCACAAATGATTTCCAAAAATCGGTAGTTTTTCACAAATTTTCCAGCATGCCCAATAAACGAACTGAGCAGGAACCACTAAAATCAGCCAGTGCCATTGCCCTACTAACAGAGCGAAAATCGGCCGATTATTCTTAGGTCTGATTTTCGAACGAAAAATCATTCAGAAATCGACCCATGTTTGGCCAGCTTAAGAGTATGCAGCTTTTACAGAGGTCCAACATCTCTGGGGAGCTTCTCCCTGATTATTATCTGATCCCTTCAGCTTTGTTACCTGAGCTAACCTGAACTTCACTGTGAGGTCCAATGTCTATAGGGTAAATCACAAGTATCTGTGTTCTGCATTGTTTTGCTGAAGTAGTGATCCTCAGCTAGACTTTCTGTTGTTAAGTCTGATAGAAACTACACCATTCAGTCACATTTTACCCTGACTGAGTCACAGAGACATTGCTGTGAAGAGCCCATGTCTGTGCAGCTTTCATTATTCTGCAGTGTATGCATGTTTTTTGTCACCCTGAACCTGTTTTGCATTGCTCTGTTTAACTTTGCACCTGTTTAGTAATTATTTAGTAAACTGCAAGTTACATTAAGACCCCGGTCACACTGGATGTGAATTGGCATGCGATTTGCATGCCATGGGACTTGCAAATTCGCATGCCAAATAGCAGCCTATTGTCGCAATTAGAGCGGTCATTTCGGTGTGGGGAGCCGCACCGATATCTAAAGTAGTACATGCACTACTTTTGCTGCGATTTGCATAGACATCTGGATCAGATGTCTTGCAAATCGCACATGAAATCAGCATGTCACCCGACATTGAAATCGTGCGACTTCTCTGCAAGTCGCACAATTTCAAATTAGGGTTTAATGTGACCGGGGTGTTACTCTCTGTTTAATCTTTTGGCTGATAACTCATTCAGTTAAAACACCTTAAAGTGGTTGTAAAGGCTCAAGGTTTATTACCCTCATACATTCTATGCATAAAGGTAAAAAACCTTTTGTGTGCTGCAGTGCCCCCAGCCCCCTCAATACTTACCTGAGTCCCATTGAGATCCAGCGATGTGCATGACAGCCTCGGCTGTCCCGGGTCTCTGCTTCCTCATTGGTTGAGACACACAGTCAAAGCCAGTCAGCCAATGAGGAGAGAGAGGGGGCTGGACATATGGAGCAGTGGTTTGGGAACATGCCTGCTTGGGTGCTCCCGACAGAAAGGAGGAGCCAGGAGCACTGGCGGGGCACCCGAGAAGAGGAGGATCCAGGCTGCTCTGTGCAAAAGCACTGCATACAGCAGGTAAGTATAACATGTTTGTTATTTTACAAAAAAATGGGAATTCTTTATTATATATTTAGACAAATTAGTTTGCAGATAATTCTTTTAAAAGGTTCTGCAAGCCCTTTGCGTGCCTTAGCAGGACAGTTCAGAAGGAGGTAGATGCTGTGTAATTCCAGATCACAGAGGTTTGAACTTCTAGGGGTCTGATAACTTTTTCAGCTGTAAACTGCTCTGACTCCCCATGCCAGCCTAACAGATGCTAGTTTGAGGCAGTATATTGCATGTTGTAAAATCAGGGTCAGCAGCAACTGAAGAATCAGGACATTGGTAGGCAACAGGTTTCTTCAAAAGTGATATGATAAATGGAGAGGAAGACATCCATGTGTAGAACACTTTGGCTTTCCACCACACCATTAAGGCTGGCCATACACAGAGCAAATTACTTTCCTGCAACCACGGGCTGCAGGAAATAAATCCGCTTAATTCTCCCATCAACACAAGGAAATCCCTCCCGCCGAACTATTGTATTCTCCCAGCGTGGGGGGGGGGCAGGGGAAGCCATCCCCACCGTGGGAAAAGACAGTGAATATTGCTAGCGGCTATACCAGCCACCAGCGATAATCATATGTAAATCCAGCAGACTGCTTGTACCCAAGTTGATCGATTGATCAGCCTGCCCATACATGGTACCAAAAATCTCGGCCGGTTCCTGCTGAACTGGCCAGCTTTAATTTCATATACAAGTCCAAATATATACCCTTTGCCCTCTTAGGTCAACTGATATGTTCTGCTGTCCTATCCCATTCAACTGATAAGCCTTTTCATCAATCTAACAAGATAAGTCATAGCATAACACACAAGCCTGGGGGGCAGAAGATGTTTGGCCATTTCACTTCAGTACACTAAAAAATGAAAAGACGGGCAAACCATTGCCTTACCTAGCAAGCAGTTCAGATCTAGGTGATCAGATTCAAAGTTGGTGACTTGTAGGTATACAAAACACCATTCAACCAATACAAATGCAGAATCTACTCAAGGACAGCAACAATATGTACTCAAATAGATTGCACTGGAAGGCAGGGTAGTAGTCAGTAAACATGTAGTATACATGGGAATATAATAGTGACAGTCAGAAATATGATGTATGGATGGCTGTGTTCCACTCCTCCAAACCCTGCTGTTTTGGGGCACCGCCTATGTTAGCTATACAGAAATCTGGACTTAATTAGCTCCTAAAAACGTTTGTGGTCTATGTGAGAATGTTATTACCGCCTTTTTATCTCCCTACAGGTAAAATATCGGGATCAGCAAAATAAAATGAAGCTGGCCTTTGTGAAGATCCTTTCTGTCTGGATTGTAGCCTTCCTTAATTTTGGCCCAGCAATAATAATCTGGGAGTATGTGGTGGGTTACAGCATAGTGGCAGAAAGAAGTTGCCATCCAGAATTTTATTACATAAGCCGCTACTCACTTTACTCCTCTATTTTTGACTTTTTCATTCCAATGACAGCAATCGCATTTTTTAACCTCAGTATATACTTTAATATCAGGAGTAGAATGAAGAGTAAAGTCCAATCTCCTGACAATAATTTAACTCTTTTATCAGAAGGTTTAAGCGATGACATATTTGTCATAGATTGTAAAAAAGACGACTCAAATAGTTCGGCAGCTTTGAAACAACCCAATCAGGATCTGTGTACGAATAAGCGTGGCTTCTTAAGATATTTTGTAGTGATTTGTAAAAGCAATCATACTCAACCAGCTACAAAAACTAGTGGAATGTCAAACAGAGTTCAGACCTTGGATTCTGCCAAAAAAACTCAGCATTGTCCAAGGACAAGAAAATGGCAAAATCATTATCTCTGCTTGTTTGTGCACTTTGCATTTGTTGGTCACCACTTTCATTGCTTACTATTATCTCTGCTGGCTTTTGTGATTTTTGTGTGCCTCCAGCTGTGTTTGAGGCCTCCTGCTGGCTGTTCTTCTTGAATTCATCAATTAATCCCATTCTGTATCCATTTTGCCAACCTGAATTTAAGAAAACTCTAATGCAATTTTTCTGTGTTAGAAAATATAATGGAAAAAAAGAATAAAACATGGGACCACATAGACCATCTCCCCTTCCCAAAACAGGAACAAGCAATACATTGATCAATGCACAAATTTGCTAAATTGCTGTGTTCTTGGCCATAGCATGCTATTGGGGTTACATTCATAACTAATTAATTACATAAAACCTTGATAGAGGACCTAATCTTGCAACTCAAGCCCCAGCCATTTAAAACTTCCTGAGAGTCCATAAACCAATTGTTTATCCACCTTGAGAATGACACTATCCCTAATAAAAAAAAGTCTGTGATGAACTAAACACATGACATTCTGGCCATACAGTCAACTGTAGATTTACTAGATCAATGTAATGTGAAGACCGGCTTGCATAGTTATGGGTAGATGTAAAGGAGATTGTATAATCAAAAAGTAATGTGTGGTGAGTTTAAGGGAAGGGAGGACAGTTATTTGACTAACAAGGAAACAGACTGTAAATGGATTGAAAAAGCCTTCAGTACCAGAGCACCGTAAAGTCAATATGTTGCCAAAAACAAGGCTGGCCCTGTAATGGGTAGGGTTGAATGGAATGATTTTAGTGAAATAAATTTGTGATAATTGTGAAATTACTGTCTTTACCATTACAAAACTTAGGGCGAAATTAGCCTCTAATATCATCATATTTTCTGCTTAAGCAATATTCACTTGAAAAAATATATCCCTAAGAAACCCTTTGCATGTTGCTTTGCAAAGTATTATTTCTTCCCTATTTTTATTATTTTGCCTTTTTTTTTTATTACAGAAAAAGACAGTGATAATGGTAAAATAAATAAATAAAAAGGAACAGTAAAGAAATTGTGTACTGTCTCTTAAAAATTTCTAAAAACATTTTAATTTTTATTTCTTCACAGGTTTTTTTACCATGTAATTAACAAATCTTAAAACTACACATATAGAAAATACACACGCATGCACGCACGCACACACACACAAAGTCTTTAGGAGCCATTTAAAGAATACATTCACCTTTGTAAAAAAATAATAAATGCACATCTTTTTGCAGGTAAAAAAAAGGGCATTTATTATGTGTTTTACTAGAAGCCTGCAAAGCATTACACCCGCGATCAGCAGATCACAGGTGCAATCTTAGGCTCCTGCAGACTGTCAGTGTATCTGTCTGCTTGTACCTCGTATGGGCAGGTAGTTACACAATGATTGGAAGCATCAGTGAACTACCTAGAGCACTCAACAGTGCTGTAGTACTTAATTGAAAACTACAATCTGTCAGCCGCAAAGGCTGTCAGTACTTGTATTTCTCCCATTCACAGAACTCTGTGAACAAATGATGCGACCATGTGGGCAGAGCCCTGCACGGCCATATTTTTTTCAAATAGTGACAATTTTCCCCTCCTAGATTGTAAGCTCCAAGGAGCAGGGCTCTTGAACCCCTCGTGTATCGCATTGTATTGTTATTGTACTGTCTCATGTATTGTCTCCCATTGTAATGTACAGCGCTGAGCGAACTGTTGGTGCTGTATAAATACTGTATAATAATAATAACGGGTGCAGGGAGAAGAACCCCCACTCACTGTCACAGGGAGGAGGAGAGGATGCAGCTACTGGAACATGTTATATATTCCAGCCTAAATACGGTTGAAACAAGTAATATGTTCCAAAAGGTAAAATTATCCTTTAAATCAAATTGTACTTTTAAAGACATGCTTCACTTTCCCAGATGCATTTCACTGAAAGGATAACAAATTCTTAAAGTGTCTTAATTTTCACTAAAACGTCAGCAACATGAAAATGCTCAATTTTGCTGATTGCTAATGATGGATAAGTAGTCCTCACTGGTGGAACTTCCCCCATAACAGCCACACAGACACTATGGAGTTGATTTAACCACGTGCCCTCCAGAAGATTTACCCTCCTTTCCTGACCAGCCAATCTTTTGCGTTACGGCGCTGCATTACTTTAACTGACAATTGAGCGATCATGCAACGCTGCACCCAAATTAAATTTTGTTCTCGTTTTCCCACGAATTTAGCTTTCTTTCAGTGGTATTTGATCGCCTGTGTGTTTTTTATTTTTTTTGCGCTATAAAAAAAAAATTCCTACAATTTTGAGAAAAAAAACAATATTTTTTACTTTTTGCTATTAAACATGTCCGTAAAAAATATTAAAAATCTAATTTTGGCATAAATTTAATCCAAAATGTTTTCTGGTACGTCTTTGCTAAAAAACAAATCCCAATATGTGTAAATTAATTGGTTTACATGAATGTTATAGCATCTACAAATGGTGGTGTATATATACTGGAATTGTTTTTTTTAATTTTTTACTACTAATTATTATTATTATTATTACATCGAGTTTATATAGCGCCAAAGGGTTTGCTCAGCGCTGTACAATAGGGGGGACAATACATGGCACAGTACAACAAAAACAGACAGCGTACGAGGGGTAAGAGGGCCCTACTCTTTCAAGCTTACCATCTAGGAGGGAGGGGGTAGTGGAACAATAGGGTAATGGCGGCGATCGGCGACTTATAGCGGGACTGCGGCGGGCATTCTGACATTAATCTTTTAACAGGAAGTGCCTGAACAAAAAACTTCATAGTATCACACCCGGTATTATTTTAATGAAAGCCGCAGTTTTCAATTAATTTAAATTACTTTGAAAATGACTTTATTTAAAAAATTTGGTTTCAATCTACTGTAAAGTGATTATATAAATACAGTATATATATATATATATATATATATATATATATCTTACATATTATACTTACCTACTCTGAGCAATGGTTTTGCACGGAGCAGCCCCGATTCACCTCTTCTCAGGTCCCCCGCCGACGCTCCTGCCCCGCCGAGTGCCCCCAGAGCTCTGCTCATGCTCGCTCCCAAGCCCCACTCTGTGTCCACAGACATACACATGGCTTGGCTCAGCCTCCTCACTGGCTGTGATTGACAATGTGTCTGAGCCAATGAGGAGGGAGACCCAGGAGAGCCGATGTTCTTGTGCACATTGCTGGATCGAAATAAGGCTCAGGTAAATATTAGGGGGGGGGCTGAGGGGGGAAGTTGCACACTGAAGGTTTTTTACCTTCATGTATAGAATGCATGAAGGTAAAAAATTTTCAGCTTTCAGAAGCACATTCTGGTCATGCATCTAAGAAATGTATTCACAGTGTGTTCCAACTTCTCAGTCATATTTGTTCTTGTACAACACTGACATCAAGTGGTTAAATTGTATATTACAGTGAACTGTCTATTTGTATTAAAGGATTTTTTAGACAAAAATAATTAATGCACATTTTTCTACAGGTAAAAAAATGTGCATTTATTATTTTTGTCTACAGGAGCCTGGAAAGCATTGCACCAGCGATCAGTAGATCACTGATGCCATACAGGTCTACAGACCTGTCAGAATATCTGCTTCCCATACAGGATATATGAGCAAGCAGATATTTTGACAGGGAGCTTCAATGAACTACCATGGTGCTCCACAGCACCATGGTAGCTCATTGGAAACTACAAGGCTACAGCCTCTAAAGCTGTAGGAACTTGCAGTTCATTCATTCACGGAAGTCCGTGAATGAGAGACGCAGCCATGTGGGCGGAACCCTGCACAGCCGCGCTGGTTTCAAATTTGACAGATAGTACGGGGAGACTTCTCCCCGTACTATCTGTCAGAGGGAGGGGGGCGTCGGGTGGTGGCTGCGGCTATGGGAACATGTTACATGTTCCCAAAGGTGAACTTATCCTTCAAGGAACAGCTTACTACTTGTATTAAAGGAAAATCCCCTGGAAAAACAAGTCTAACACTAGCTATACACATAAGGACTTGTAAGTAGCTATAGAATCTATTAGCAGAATCAATAACATTGATCTAAAACTAATCAAATTTGCTCATTTTAAACAAACATCTTTAATTTTATTGAAATCACGCCTTCATTGATAATCTGGTCAAAATTTAATTGATTGTCCCAGTTATTTGATCCTTGCGTATTCTGATGAATTTTGAACTGTATGACCAGCAAAACTAATCACTACTTGCTTTTTAAGTGTTTATATTTTGGCCTTACTGTCCCTTTTGGTAATGGTCCCTATCATGTACCCTATGGGAGTGATCACTTTCGTTAGGTTTAGTTATATAGTTACATATTTTGTCAGGTTGGAAAAAAACATACAAGTCCATCTAGTTCAACCAATAAAAAAAACAAAAACAAAAAAAACCCCAAACAAATAGAAAACCTCCATATATACAATCCAGAGGTAGGCAAAAAAACCCATTCAAACATGATTCCATTGGCTCCAGCAGGGAAAAGAACCTTCCTTCCTGATCCTCCAGGAGGCAATCGGATATTCCCAACAATTCCTAGTGTTGCTATCTATAAATGTTAAAGTATATCTAAAGGTAAACCTTTTTTTCCTGTTAGATAGAGTAAGGGAGGGTTATAACCCCTATTAGATTTTTTGCTATCCCATAAGGGAGAATTCCTTTCACTTTCTATCCCATAGCGAAAGAAAATCCCCACAAAGTGAGTGAATCCTGGAGTGTCATCAGGGTCACCAGAACTAGTGTCCTCATTGGAAGAGTTCCCCTCTGTTGCTTTTATGTCAATCAAACATTTGGGATTTTCTTTTACTCTCATTTTCAATGATAATGGTAAACAGGACATATAGAGAGGCTAAAGCTCCTTAACAGGGGCACAGACTGCAATAAAAACTGACAGGTCTACTAATCCTACTCCACTGTCTTCAAAATGAATGAACAAAAAAAAGTTTTGTCTTTAGTTAGATTTTATATCCACTTTTTGTTTTTGAATTTAGCAATGCATCCAACTCTTTTTTTTTTAAAACCATCTACTGAGCTGGCCAGAACTAGTTCTTGAAGGAGTCTATTCCACATCCAGCTCTCACTGTCAAGAAGCCTTTCTG